ACATTAACCGATATACCGAAGTGCAGAAATAGGGGCCCGGAAGAGCAGTATAAAGAGGTGTCCCAGCTCTGAAAGACCAGAGCCATTGATCCTGAGCTGCTTTGGTTCCTGTGTGCTGCCTCGCCTGTTTTTCAAAGTACCTAAAGACTCCTGAAGCCACCACTATCCTTTAAGTAAACTAATTTTTACTTAGATTCCCTAGAATTTGATCCTATTTACAACTAAAGAATCCCAACTGACATAGCAGCAAAAACATTGTGCAAATACATGAACAAAACATTTAAAAATACAAGGACCCAGAAAGTTTATCTCCCATGTGACCATTTGAAAAAACATACATATATACACACAATACATTCATACACACACACACGAATGCAGCCCACCAAAACGTAAAAGAATCCAAGGGAAAAAACAAAACACACAACTGGGATTTCAGAAATAATCAAATTTACCCAGGATTACACTGGAAAGAAACCTCATGTGGACAGCCGTGAATCAGGCTTAGAAAAAACTACTCAAACTGAAAGGTTAAGTCAGAGGAGTTTTTGAAATACAGCTTTAAGAGGATAGGATATCCTATTATGAAAACTGTGAGATTAAGAACATGACATATTTTAGTGGTGAGATGAAAGTAGGTGTTTTATTTGTCAATTTAGAAAAAGGAAGGCAAGTAAAAACTCTCAAAAGAAAAGCATATACTGGAAAATCACTGTTCAAATACGCAAATTAAGTAAATGTGGCACAATTTTCTGCAGCTGACAGTAGGTAAGGAAAGAGACTTCATTTAATCCTGACACCTTGTAGGGGATACAGAATAAGTCATTAACCTGTTGGTCAATTCATTCACTGGGCTGCTGTAAATAATGTTCCAAGTAAGCACACTACTGACTATACTATTTAATGGCTTCCAGTTTTTAGTATTAACCTATTAATATAATATATAAACCTTATATTTACAAAGCAGGATAAATAAATTCAGACAATGTAGAAGTAATGGTATAGCTTTAAAATGGAAAACTGGCAAAGAAATCAAAGGAAATTTAGACATGTTAATCATATTTTAGAGAACTATCAGATGTTGAATGAAGTTGAGAAACTAATAAATAGAATATAAACAATATAAGAACTAAAAATACTTTAAAAAAAATAAGTGAGAGTCTGCAGGAAGAGTTGGTGAAGATAGTGTAAGTACACTATATTCTTTAATATTGAATATTTTACAAAACTATTAAAGTGATGATGGTTATCACTAGAAAAACTAAAAGTGAATATTTTAACTTGGGAAATGGGAAATGTACCCTGCTCTTCTCTTTGAACTTTTACCATGTTTGTGTATTACTTACATAATATTCAAAACTTGTGTAATACATCATAAGAAACTAAACATAGTAGCCCAGGATGATCTGATCCATATGGGGTGGGATTATCACATTGCAACTGATACTTGTATTTTTCCTCCAGAAGTGCATCTCAAGATTGCAGTTGTTTTGATAGTAGGCCCACTGAGTTGTAAGTATAGGCTACTTAAACCAACAGGTCTTTTCACATGAACTTGTAACTCACATCTAAAAGCAGAACTTTGTCTTTTTTTATTGTTGGATTTCATGCGTTACTTTCAAACCATCACTTCAACCTGCCCAAATTTCTTCTAATTCATGTTAACTTTACTCTATATTATATTCTCTCAGTTGCTAGATAAATATCTCAGGCGATAATTACCATTCCCCACTGAACTGGAAGAGAGAATTTTCTCCTTGTACCTGCTGATGTCTACAATTCACATTATTATTTCATGAAATGTGAGATGCCTTTCCTTTGGAGGATCCAAATTCACTCTATATAGCTGAGTCTCTTATTTTATTTCTTCCTTATGGTTCATTCTTACTCTTGCCAATGACTTTGGTTCACTTTTTTTCTCGTTAGAAGTGTCCTTCATTCTGGCTTGTTTCTCAAAATACAGCTTTCATCTTATCTAAAACGGCTTCACCCTCCCAATAGCCACAGCTAGAAAGGCAGTCTTCAAACTTGCTCCCTTTCTCATTTAGCAGGCAGAACAGGTTTACATAACTGACTTCTAATCTCAGAGAAGAAAACAGTGAAAATGCCGGTAGGTCCCTGGAGCTGTTAGTCTTTTAACCGGACTTGGAACTTCTACAGACTGACAATTGGTTGCTTTGCTTCTGAGATCATGGATCCATGGACACTCCCGAAGCCATGAGGTATTATTCCTTATACTAGTCAAACCCAGACTCCTTCCACAGCAGAAGCACAAAGACTTACACAAACTCTTGACAATAAGATTCCAAAATATTTTGATCATCTATTCCCACATTTTTTTCTAAGCCTATTTCTTTATTAAAAAGTTATTTTTTAAATATTCCAGCCTAATCTTTACATTTAACATCCCAGAATTTTTTCACTTTTTTATAAACCTGTTATTTTTCCAATTGTTTTATTATTTCTGTTATTGTCCTTGGTTCCAACTTCTCACATATGAAAATATTGGGAGGGGCAGGGGAACAGTTTATGATTATCTGCTTTCACCTTAGAAAAGTGGTTCTTAAAGTGGTCCCCACACCAGCAACATCAGCAGCACCTGGGAACTTGTTAGAAATGCAAATTATCAGACCCTGCCCCAGATCTACTGAATCAGATATCCTGTGGGTGAAAACATTTATTTTGGTTTAACAAGCCCTATACATGATTCTGATGCACATTCAAATTTCAGAACCACTGCCTTAGAAAAATCATACATAAATGAACTTGACCAAACTTTAGAGATGATGCATAATTACTTACAATAAGCATTTTTATCTGAAGAAGAAATTCTAACAAATTTTAATTAACATGATATATTTTTCGGATAACTTCTATTATCTCCTTTAGTTTGGGAAGAAACCCTAAAAGAAAATAGAAAAGGAAGGAGAGGAAAGGTAAAAAATATTTGGGCTCTTCAACCATTTAGTTGAAGATCGCTATTAGGCAAAAAGTATGGCAGAAAGAACACAAAAATCTTCCTATCATGCTACTGATGAAATAGGTTGAGCAAGCAGTATTCATATTTAGGAGCAAGAAAACCTTCTTGGGAATTCCAAGGCACATGCCCTTCTGCAAAAGTGTCTATTTCTGTGGCTATGGGGGTTGTTATTCAGGTAGAGACATGTTTTTCTACAAAAAAGTAAAAAGGCTTTAAAATAAATAAATAAATTCTAATATAGGTCATTATTTTTATTTTGTGTATCAGCTAGTCTTGGAGTCAGCAAATTTTTTTTGTAAACAGCCAGATAGTAAATACTGGAGGCTTTGCAGTTAATACAATCTCTGTCATGACTTAATTCTGCAACTAGTCAAGCCTATCATCGCAGGCAGAAAGCAGTGGTGGGCACTATGTAAATAAGTGGGTGTGCTGGGTTCCAGTACAGCTGCATTTACGTAAACACGAAGTGAACCTGATTTAGCCCGAGAGCTCTAATTTGCCTGCTCTTTACTAGACTAGAGATACATGGCTTTTAATATAACCCACGTGTACAATCTAGCCGAATAGGTGGAAAAGAGCACTGAAGGTAACTACGGCCTTCATGAAAACTGTTACCTGGAAAAACATTTTCCTGGGCCATTGCTAAACATAGCCCCAGTTCTAACCAGTCCCTGCCTGTTTTGACTGTAAAGGCTGCTTTATTAATTGTTTTTTTAACTTTACCCTTGCATTTCCCTGCTTAGATAATATTAGCTACTGTGTCTGAGTTTCTGTTCCTCAAATCATGTCCCTGTGAGAGCAGTCCAGCAGTCTGTCCCAACTCCTCTCCGTTAATTTACATGAATATTCTGGGCCACCATGACATTTTTTGAAATTTAAGTCACACAACTTTACATCTTATGAAAAATCACTTCCTTGTTAACTATATCTATTAGATTAATTACAGAAAACAGTCTCCTGGTAGTCACTTAGGTGTGTATGCACAGATAAGATACTTTTTTCTGGCCACTATTCTTTCCTCTATTCTCTAACCCCTAACTTAGTGATCATCTGGCTACCAAGAAAATAAAATCTTTACATTCCCTAGTTAGGCCCCAAATTACATTTGGTGATTCCTCCTGATTGTGTCCTTGAAAATTTCTAGAACAAAACTACATTTTGCTCAGACAGGCCTTTAAACTGTCATTTCTTTAAAATTTCTCTGTGTTTCCAAAGACACCATTTCTCTACCATTTCCAGTACATCCTGTGGCATGACTCTTGTATTCATCTTTAATCATGTTTAACACTCCTAGTTTCCTCAAATAAACATAAATGTTAACATATCCTAAATGCAAATATAGTCAATTACACCAGTTAATCTAGACCATCAATTTTCAACCAGTATGCTGCAAGAATTTTTAAAACATGAAATACTTGACTATTTAGTCAGGAGCACTGCTTTTCCCTTAGATTGTCAAATAAAAAAGTGACAATGGCCAATAGAATAATAGTCCTGTGGTGTGAATGCCCTGTCTTGAACCATAAATACATAGGTCATATAATAGAGTCACATCCTATTGGTCACATCACATAATAAGGTTGCATCTGATGGGTTAATTCTTGGTACCAGGAATCCTTATATACAAGTATAAGTACCTGATTTTTTTTTTAAAGTCGCTTTGGAGCAAAAAGGGTAATTACTCTTTTAAATCAATTAAAATTATACCTATTTTTTTTGTCACATTGGCAAAGAATATGTTTTCTTGGTGTGCTGCAGAATTTTAGTAATTACTTTATATGTGCCATGGGGTGAAACAGGTTGAATATTGCTGACCTAGACTGTGATTTTCTCCTAATCTACTCTGGATTGGGATAAGGAAAAGAGGTGTGTTGTTGTTGTTTTTTAATTTTAATAACTCCTAAGAGTGCAAAGAGAATAGACAAGGAAGCAGAAGTACCTCTTCTTGGAAACACGTTCCAGGCTTTCCTGCTTGGCAGCACGTCTTCACCAGGTGAGTGAAATGCGCCACGATTGGCTGGAACTGCATCTCTGTTGCATTCGGTTTCCGTTTCACAAGGTTGCTGAGGAGCCTGGATCAGAAATGAGTGGCAAAAATAAAAGCACCCCTGAGTCCCAGAAGGCCAGCTTGCAAACCTGCCTTACTTGCTTATCTGTGGAATCTAAAGAACAAAATAAATAAACAAAATTGAAACACACTCATAGGCACAGAGAGCAGACTTACAGTTGCCAGAGTGGGGGACTGAGTGAAAGAGGTGAAGGGGTGAGGTACAAACTGGCAGAGCAAAATAGTCAAGGGGACGTAAAGCACAGGGGGAGCAGAGCCAATGACACCGTAATAACCCCGCGCGGTGCCAGGTGCGCACCGGAAATATTGGGGGACCACTTTGTAAATTAAATGATTGTCTAACCACGATGCTGTACACCTGAAACTAATACAAATTAATATTGAATGCAAACTGTAATTGAAGATTAAAATTTAAAGTTATTTTTTAAAAGAAAGAAAAATGATACATACTTATAACTAAAGAATTATCTTAAGTATAATTTCATAAAATAATAAAGGAATCTATTTACCATGGAAAAAAATAAAATGAAAAAGTCACAAGCCAAACATTCAAGAACTCCAATTATCTACAGGCACTAAATAATTTAAATGCCTTTTTTTCTAAAAAAAAGAAGAAGAAGAAGAAGAAGGCAGCAGCAGGTCTGGGAGTGAGGCTCAGAGCACGGGCCTCAGGATGGCATGTTAGCTCTCCTTGGCACTCCAGACATAAAGGCTGCCACTTCTACAGCTGGGGACTCCGCGCCATGCGGAAGCGGGATGCCCGCCCCTGCCAACAACTATGTTTCACACTTGTCATGGGCTTGCAGTTGACCTACCTCTCCTGCCCTTTTCAGCCCTTCTCCACTCTGGTCTCTCTACCCACCAATCAGAGTGCTTTTATTTAGAAATATTTCCTCTAATCCTTTCTATTATTTTAGTTTAAAAGTTTTAAATTTACCTTTTTAAATCTTACATTTTATTTTTAATTCTCAATGCCATCAGCTTGTTTTCAGTTTTTCATTTCTATGGCATTAATCTTATTTTCATCAAGTGTACACACCCTTTCATTTAAAGCACATTCTAGTCTTTAGATACTGTCTTAAATCATCACATTTCAATTCAATATTTGTCATTATTGGGTTTGAAATTCTTTTACTTGGAACTTCCATGTCCTTGTTATTTTCTCTGTCTTATTCCACGACTTCACCTTCTACCTTCCCTTTATTATCCTGCTGAATATTTTCTTTCCCGTGTGTGTGTGTGTGTGTCTGGGCGCCTGCATTTATGCTGTGAGAACCGGCCAGTTACACAGGGTGGGTGCCATGGAGAAACCCCTGACACTGCACCAGGAAGGTGGGGGTTTCCAGCCTGGCCGGGGACTCCGTATATGGGTCTACCCAGACCCCCACCCGGTTCTCTTTACTGCCTCCAGCACGTCTCTCCTACGTGCTCTTTTAAAAGCCGTAGTTCCTCTGGAGTCGATGCCATCCCCCCTTATTCCTGTCGCGTAAGAAGCTTGGTCATGCCCCCTCCTTTTTGATGGCTCGAGACCCAGTTAATTGCCTCAGTTTCCATCATATCTTGACATTCATCCTTGTCTGTAGTTTCATTTTTTAAAAATGTATCTTATTGTTGAAAGTATTACAGATGTCCCCCTTTTCCCCATTGGCCCCCGTCCCGACTCCCACCCCACCCCCAGGCCCTCACTGCACCACCGCCCATGTCCATGGGTTATGCGTATGGATTCACATGTGGCAGGCTGATTACAAAAATGGACCCATTGTCCACCTTTCTCTGTATCCGTGTCTTTACAATGTGGCATTTCAACTCTTGCTGTCGAGAAGTGAAGCCTGTTTCCCCAGCCCTTTAGTCTGGACTGGCCCATGGCCTTCCCTGCAGCAGACCTGGCGTCGCGCGGCTCCCAACCGGCCCTCACGAGGCCCCACACTCCCTCCTGTCCCCAGCCCCCTGCGCAGGAGCCCAGGCTGGCTTCCCGGCGAAGGCCACCGCAGCGGACACAAGCGTCCCAGCGAGGCCACCAGCTCCCCGGCGATCTGGCGGCTCAGTGGATGCTCGAGGAAGCCCTGCTGAGGCTGGCGACGGCCGGCCCCGGGAACACGCACCAAATCACATCCATCCCTGAGCAGTAATGACCGATTCCATGTTAAGCCACTACATTTTGGTGTGATTTGTTTTGCAGCAAAACTAACACATCGTATGAGGAAAGGGTGAGGGAAAAGAGGTTTGACAAGGGGCTGCGACAGCGGGACAAGAGGGTGAACAACAGTAGGATGACAAATACTCTAACAGGTGCTGTGAAGGCAGGAGCCGAAAGAGCACTGGGGTGAATCCTCTTGCTGACTTCGAGCAGAAACCCTTTTTGAATAGAACGCACATTGGGAAACCCTGATCAAGGGTAAAGACATTGTATCCTGCTGGCGATATTTCTGATCAGTAGGCTTCTGTATCGGTAACAGCCCCCAAATCAAAACAGCACTTAGTAACAATAATAACTTATATTGATAAAATTTTATAATTTATAAATGTTTTATATACATTGTATATATTTATATCATACACATCATGTACAAACACACATACGTGCATTTCCATGGTCATATATAAGTTCAGAAAGCTTTGCACACCGCTCCCCTCACCTTCCCCTAGAGGCCCACCTTCAGATTAAGCGGGTAACAGCCCTGCCCTGACCGGTGACTCCGCTGGCTGAGTGTTGCCGTGCACCGAGAGGTCGCCAGTTTGATTCCCCATCAGGGCACATCCGGGGCTGCGGGCTCGATCCCCCGTAGGGGGAGGGCAGGAGGGGGCCCATCCATGTTTCTCTCTCTCATCGGTGATTGTCTCTCTCTCCCCCTCTCCCTTCCTCTCTCTCAAAAAAGAAAAAGAAAAAAAAAATAACTACCCTACCTCATTCTCAGTTGGTAGTCAAATAATAAGGATCTATCTTTAGTCAGCAACGCAGAGTAACTGGAGAGTATTTCTCTATATAGTTTCAGAAGCAGAAATTTGGTTGCCAGTGACAAAAAAAATAGATTTCTACTTAATAAAAAAAGATGAGCTTTTTAGTTAAGCATATCTAAAGATAAATAGGCTGCTTTAAGCAAATGGTCTTCCCATCACTGTAAATATTCATGGAGGAACTGCACAATGTGTTTTAGAAGGGTTTCCTAAACTTGGGGTGCAGGCCATGGGTTAATATCTGTTTCTTTCCATTTCAGTATTCTTTGGTATTACATGCTCAAAGATATATATGGCATTTAAACATTTATTTCCAGTATTGTGAGTTTCTAGTGATATCCTATTTTCCTATATTCTGAGAAGTTATTACAAAGCCTTATTTAGTGCAAGAAACTGCATTACAGGGGTGGGGGAGTGGGAGAAGAAGGGGATTAAGGATTTAAGGGGTTGAATTCACAGGCATTTCTACATTATCACCCAGCTGCCACCCACTAGTAATCATCCAAAACCACTGTTCCGGACATATACGACAGCCATCCCTAGCACCTGCGGGAGAAGGGGCAGTGAAAGTAATGACACACTGCGAGGTGATACACATCACTCTAAGGGACTGTCCCAAAGCACTTCCAGCATGCTGGTCCTGCAGAGCCTTCGTAGTTCCTATGGCCTGGATGATGCTAAGTTAGAACAAGCTAAATAGACTATTGCAGGGCTTCTCCAACTTCCACTGTTAATGGGAGGTATACATTTCTGAGAAAAGCAAGGAAATAAGTACTCCCAAACTTATGTGATCATGGGACCATATCTGCACGAGACTCCTTGTAAAACTAACATCTGAAGTTCACATTTTAGGAAAAATACATTAATGTACTTCTATGTCAATATTTTCTGATCAACAGACTTCGGTCTCGTTAACTGATCGAGTTGGGGAAGTACCCGTGACAGCCACAATTGCAAAGTTGCGTAATATTCTCAGTTCTACTTGACCTCCAACGTAACATTTAACTGCCCCATTCGTCATGTGGTACTTACATCTGCACCCACTTTATGGTTCTCTGCACCTGCTCCTTTGTTGGTAAAGAAAAAATTCAACAAAGATTCTTACTTTCGCTTTTCAGTTTGGAATTCCTCCTCCTGAGCTTTGCACAAGTCCTCTCTAAGGCTGATAAGTTGGTCACAGGATAAAGGTGGAGAAATGTAAGTTCCATCGACTTGCAGATCATCAAAGCACAGCTTCCTGAAGGCGTAAGAGTGACCACAACAGTGACTCACGCCAGCATTGATAGGCTCTGCCTCATGTCTTCTGCATAAAGCTCCAAGAGTTAGCTTAGCCTTTCCCAGAAGAGAATTAAAATAAGAGTCATTAAGTTTGTCATCGTTATTGTCTTACCCATAGAAAATAGGATTATATTTACATATTCTCAAATTCCAGTTTCTGCTAGGTCAGCCTGGATTTCACTGTTTGGGAAAAAGGAAGAGTGTCAGGTGCAGCCTGGTTCTTAGACTTGTCCTTTCTCTTCTGATCATCCTGAAGTTGAGTTCCCCCTATGTATCGCTTCATCTGGCTGTTCATCTGTATCCTTTATAATACCCTTTATCAACTGGTAAACATAAGTGTTTCCCTGAGTTCTGTGAGTCACTCTAACAAATTAATCAAACCCTAGAAGGGAATAGTGGAAACCTCTGCGTATAGCTAACCGGTCAGAAGCACAGATAACAACCTAGACTTGCAATTGTCATCTGAAGGGAGTAGGGAGCAATCTTGTAGAACTGAACCCTTAACCTGTGGGATCTGAGGCTATCTCCAGGTAGACAGTGCCAGGACTGATGTAAATTGTAGGACGCCCAGCTGGTGTCACAGAGAATTGCTTGTTGTGGGGAAAAACGCACATACAGCTGGTGTCAGCAGCGTTGTGAGAGTGCTAGTACTGTGAGAGTGAAGAACACAGGAAGAAGACTGGGTATTTTTTTCCTATACATTTGATTAGGATGAGTTAGTCAAAAGTCAGCATTGTCTTTGAAGCTGCTGGCAAACTTGGGGTGGCAGAGACAATACAATATGAAGGTGATGTATTGTAGAATTATGTACCTGTAACCTGTATAATTTTATTAACCAATGTCACCCCAATAAATGTAAATAAATAAATAAACAAACAAACAAATAAATAAATAAGTAAAATCACTTTTGTTGGCTTGAAAATCCAAGAAATAGACCCGGGGTATGATCCAGGCAAAGGCCTGTTGAATCTGACATCCCTAAGGTCAGGGAAGTGATAGTCTTAACCTTGTTGCTAATCAAACCAATTGGTGTGAGCTGACCTGAAAGAATTTCTCGAGGGCAGAATTATTAAGCTCTATTGACAGTTCACAGATGTGCCCACTGACATGCGATTGATTGCTGAGGGTTAGAAAGTAGAACTTTCAAAAACAGGCAAAGGTGAAGCCACTGGTGTGCTTACTGCATCCTCCACGCAGGCGAACTGCTGCTGGTCACTCAGAGGGCAACACTTGGTGGCGGCGGCAGCCATGTCCTTCGTGAACATCACCAACTCTTGAGCAGACAGTTGTGGGGCTTTCTGAGTATAAAGGACCAGGAGCCTGAAAGAATGATTTCCTCTTACTCGTGACAGTGACTAAAATGAAGAATTCCACAGAGTTTTTCTCAATATCTGACATTGTCTCTGACTGAGGTTAACTAAGGCATTAAACTGCGTTTAATTCTGCCCTTTCAGTCCTTGCGCCAGTGGCCCACTGGCTTATTCAATTACCCGTCCTGCCTTCCAGCCTCACACATTATAATGCTGTGTTGCCTAGAGAAGGGTTTTTCAAAGAAACACAAACAATGCAACAGTGGGTGTTCCCTCTCTTGCTCCCATGTGACCGTATTTATGTGAAGACTAATACTGTGCCCCTAATTACACCAGTACTTAGTAAAATCCTATTTCTCTGGTTCTGCTTACTGGGAAGATTCAGCTGTTAAGATTTTTCCTTTGCTTCCAATTGGGAACATTTGGAAAAATATCAATCTCTTTCGTGTACAATGTAGAAATGTGAATATTCATAACAGTTTTCCACTTGTTTCTGTTAAAACTGTATCTGTAGAAATGTAATTTTAATAACTTGGTCTTGTCAGACTCTGAAGACTTTAGAAATTATTGTCTTCAGGGAAAAATAAACTATAAAAAAATTTGCTCGACTCTGATTCATCTTTTTCTACTTATCAAGGATAACTATGAGAGCTAATTTGGATGGCTGCAAATCCAGGCTTAAACAGGCCCTCAAATAAATATATGTATAGGCCATTAAAGCTGTTATTAGTTGCCTACAATGTAAAGGAACAGGCACTACAGCAATAATCAGGAAACAATTCCTACTTTGATAGGACTCAAACCCTAGTCGGGGAGATAGGTGTACAGAGTGCTGTGGGTGCTCATAGAACAGTATCAAATCCCATCCCAGGGAAATGAGGCAGGACTCCTGGAGGAAATGACATGTGAGCTGAGATCTGACAATAACTAAAAATGAGCTGGGTAGAGGGAAAGGAAAGTGGGAGAGGAGCATTTGGGAAGTCATTGAATGTGATTTTTGTTTTCTTGATTGGGGGGTGGTTGTAGAGAGGAGAGGAAAGATAGCTTAGTTACAGAATTAGATTTACATTGTTTTTAAGATAATTATGGTTGGTGTATAAAGAATGGATTGGAGGTGGGCACAAGAAAACATGATTGAAGAAAAAATTTGTAGACCATTCCAAAAATCCAGCTGAGAAATTGTTGTAGCCTGAACTAGAAGAGTGTTGGTGGGAATTGAGGGCTATAAAGAGAGATTTTTAGAGAAAGACTCTACAGACTTGGATTTGAGGGGGTGGAGGGAGTCAGAGTCAATTCTTGCATTTATATTATAATGGAGTTGGAGGAAGGATTTAGCTAGAACATCCAGTGAAACCATAAACTTAATCCAGTGGTTCTCAAATTGTGACTCCTGGACCAGCAGTATCAGCATTCCTGGCAACCTGTTAGAAGTGAAAATCTTCAGGCCCCATCCCAGACTTTGGAATCAGAAACTTTTAACAAGTCCTCCAGGTAATTATAAAGTTTGGGAACCACAGATCTAATCCTTAAACTAGACATTAGCAGCTGAATACAACATAAAAGAAAAGTAATAAACCAAATATTCTCTCTGGAACAAGAATACTTTTTCTGGATCCATTATTCTGGACATTTAATTTAAGATCAATAATGCAGGACACTATATCAAACTGAACTTTTCCTCAATACTCTGTTTCTAAATAGACTATCTCAGTGTGATCCTAAAGATTCCTAAATTTTGGCTTTTGTTTTTTTGGTATATTAACCTATGAAATAGAGTGGGATATACCAATCTCTCTGCATATAAGTTGTTATGTGTTCCTCTGGCAAATAACTAAGGTATCTGTTTCATCTCTACTCTCAGTGGTGAAAATGCTAAATTTGCTTTATGGACCTGATTGGAAATGGACAAAGGGACCCTACAATAGATCTCTGTTGCAGCTTTGATTCAAAATCGCAGGCAAAGCCCTAAACTAACTGTCCAGGTGTGAGGGAAGGGCCCCTGTGAGACTGCAGGAAGGCAGCCAGGGTCTGCTTGGCTCCCTGACCTCTGGGCATTGACTGGAATCTGGAATCTGGAATCTGGAATCTGGCCTGGAAAACAGAGTAAAAGCACCCAAAGTTATGTGGACATCTATCGTATGCAGACAAAGATAGCTAGGTTAATTCTGAACTAACTTTTTCCTTGGCCTCTGAGATTTTAAGGTTGAATGTAAACTCTTTGCAAAGCTTAGCATCAGGAGTTAACAAAAACTCACTAAACAAGTATAAATCTGGACAATATCTTACAAGCATACCTGTCATGGAAGTTACTATCTCCTAATTTCTCACGTAAATCACAATGATTTTTAACATGTTCATGGCTTTCACGAACCACTCTTTGGAACATCTCTTCCTGAAAAATAAAGATAATCAGTGTTTATCTATCATTGCAACAATATATCTTCAGGTAAGATTGCAAAACCATCTTCTGTAAGAGTTTAATGTAGCTGTTTCCCTAAACCCAGGGCTTTATTTACTTACTGAGTTAACAAAACTTGAAAAACATGTTTTGCTAAAACAGGAATGGCTTGTACTTTGTGGAGAAAAAAATGGGACAGTGAGATTGATACTCAGTTTCCCGTGATAAAAACTCATTTGTGATTAAATGACATATGTTACAAGCATAAGGCAAATCATTTATTCATCAAGACAAAAAAAGATCATTAAAGGTAGTTTATAAATGTAAGGTTAATTGGTCAGCGTGTGTGTATGTGTGTGTGTGTGTTTATTGTTTATTTTTAATAATGCCACCTTTTTACATAAATAGCAAATATAGAGATAAAGATATAGGTATAGAAATATAGATATGTACTAAGAAGTCGTGGTGTAGTAAAAACATGTACCAGCCTTGAATAGGGTAAAATACTGCATAAATACACATTAATAAATCAAAGGAATTCTCAGAGATAACTGCAAATTCAAAGAGTTCTTGAACCACAAAAATAAATCCCGGTGGGAAGGTACACGTGACCTTGCAGGCTTGGCACTTTGGTAGGAGAACCAAACCCAGTCCCTGATCCTAGTAAGTAGTGTTTATTATAGGGAGAATGTTGCCAGATACATAAACTATTGCCCAGACTTAACCCTTAGCCCTGTCCTTCCTGCCCATGTGGCACCGGGCAGTCCTCGGAGCCTTCTGAAACATAATTTCCCCCCATCTATAAAATGTTGCTAGCACTTCTGGCGTCACCTATGTTACCAAGCTGTTATGAGGGCCAAATGGAACACGGTTATAAAGTCGCCGTGTTAATCTAACACCCTGCTCCTGTGAGGCCCTATTATCACAGTGATTCTAGCGGAGGTCTGCTGGCGGTGCCACCAGGGGGTGCTAACCTACAGGAGGCTCAGTCCCCTTCGTTTCTCCTTGTCTCTGGGAACAGGAGGATGCTAAGGGTACCTCCCTGTGCCTAGACCGGTCAAGAGAGTCCCTTCACCCTCCACCCCCACCCCACACTCTATAAATATGTAAGCCATTGGTTAGAGTAACACGAGCCAGGGCAACCTGTTTCCTGGTAACCCGTGAAAACCAGTCGTCACCCAGTCAGATCTGTAAGGCCACCTGCACTTTTCATGTCAAATGCATAACAGAGCTGCTGCCTGTGAGCAATATGATTTCTGGCCTGAAATAAGGACAGTTTCCAGGCCTGCTTAGTAGAAACAGTCAGCCTTCCCTAAGAGTCCGCGGTGTCCTGCTACCTGCTACTGTGCCAAGCAGACCTTCACTCTGAAGAGGAGAGTGCACAGTGACGCTTCCACAAAGCACAGACTCTAAGAGAATAACCTGCACAGAGTCGCGCTATGATGATGCGGCCTTTGGCCCAGGCGGCAATGATGTCCCATGAACTGTGCTTGTGTTTAGCAAGAACATGCATAATCTTACAAAAGTATGGCACTAACAGCACTGTACGTTTTTCTGTTTGTAATCCCTCACAAGTAACAGGTTAAACAATAAAAAGGCATTTACCCCATGTCTATAGCATTCCAGAGGATTTTCTAATTTACAGCATTTTTCCAATAAATTTTGATATACTGTATCCACTCTTAAAATCACTGGAACTGCCAACTCTGGATGTCTTCTTGAATATTCATAAAGAAACCTGTATCCATATGAAACATATTCGAAAGTAAACAGTAAAATTCAAAGGCTACAAGTTTTCTTTCAAAAGCCAATTATAATTATGAAACTTATTTAATATTTTAACTGACCTTAAGACATTTGGAAACCTTGGGAGGTTGGCAAGGTGGTTCTATTGACTACATTTTGAGACCAGGAAACCAAATCAATAAAATTATATGATTTCTCTAAAGTTCTTGGCTCAGGGTCTCTGCTTACTTTCACGAGAAATTAATTTCAAGTATTTGGGTGAGAACACATTTTTCTCAATGACCTTTGAGGTGAGATTTCATAAGTATTACAATTCTTTTTTAAAGAAAGTGCTGGCTAGGTATTAAATCAGAATCTTCCCCTCTTTTCCATATATACCTTCAAGTGTAAGTAGGTCATGCATAGTCTACACATTTTGGGGGGTTATAAGAAAAGAAATTTAGACTCTAGAATATTTTCAAAGGAATCATGGAATCACAGGAGACATCTTAAAAGTCATCTTATCAACCACCTCAGTTTACAGTTGGAACTCAAAAGCCTGGAGAAATTTATTGGCTTGACCTACATTCCAAAACTCATGTATGACAAAGCTAGACTGGAACTCAAGTCTCCCAACTCACAATCTGATGTGAATTCCACTAGAAAGCTATGCCTATCAACTTGTTCAGTACCAAATGCAAGTTTAGGAATAAGTGGGTTCAGGAAGTAACATTTACTTTTTAAGCCAGTATCAAATGCAATTTCAGAAATACAGCTATGGACATTCTACAAAAACTTTAAAGAAATCTCAGAATCTTATACTTCGTTAGAATGTAGTTGCTCCAAATAACACTACACAAAGTGACTCTGGAACTATTTCAGCCATACAGCAATATTGCCTTAATATTACATATTAAAATCAGTTTGTCTTATGCACAAAATAACACATACTTCTGAATGGACACCAGAGATATAAATACTCCATTCATATCTCTAATCTTTAAAAGCCACACCATGGCTTTGGTAGCAGGTATTAAATTAATAGCTGACCAGGTATATCAATCTGAATCTCTTACTTAGACAGGACTCTAAGTCTGTTAGAGCAAGGGTTGCAAACAAATGCCCTCCACTACATTTTTAAAAAATTTCTGTATTAGTTGTGAACATTTAAAAATCAAAAGGCTTTCAGCATCTCCCAGTAGACCTTGCAGTAGACCTAACCACCCAGAACCTGCCAACTTTGGACTCCACAAAACATCTCCTGTTGATCACATTTCCCACTTAATCACTCATTTACATCATTGGCTAAACTCTGTCATCATTTAAGTTTACAACTCGATACAATATTCCAAAGAATCCATAAATATAATATCCCATCATTAAGACAGATTTTACAAAACTCTATATTACTCTTGTAGGAAATCATCTTGCTTGTCAGTGAATTGTTTGCATACAAATCGGTCTTCCGTAAACCTGCTGAGCGGCAGGGATGAAAGATCAGGTTTATTGTCATTTTCGGAGTTGATAATGCACTCCCCTCTAAATGGCACCGGCAGCACACAGCATGGAGTGATCTTGCTGGATAGGACAGCCTGTTTAGAGCAGGTGTAGTTCATAAGCTGGCTCTGCAACATAAAAGGGAGCAGTTATTTTTGATGACTTGATTCTAAGCTTATTTATTTACTGTAATTAGAAGAAAACCAGAGAAAAAACTTTGCAACTTACATTGCTCTATCCTTGGCAAACTGAGGGGCCCCAAAACTCATTTGTAGTGATTCATTCTAATAAGAAAATCTTCTCTATTTGACCTTACTCAAGTGTCACAGTCTCTTTTAACATCTCTTAAAGAAGTTAATGGGAAACAGATCATATTATAGTTTCCATGTTTAGCTCAAAAAAATGCAAATAAAGAGTTTTATTGTCTTGCTATTGTTGCTATTGTTGTAAGATCTCAATTTAAGAAATATTTGTCATTTGCTATATATATTACAGTAATATTACTATCATACTTACATACTTAACATGTAACTATACATAAATACATACACACAAATAATTGTGTGTGTGTGTGTGTGTGTGTATGAATAAGCTAGTCTCTACACTTAAGCTACTCACAATCTAGTTGGAGAGCCAAATAATTAAACAGTAATAATGCATTATAACAGAAGTTGTAAGAAACGTGTATATATGATGCTTTGGAAGAAAAAAAAAAGATTTGCATTCCAGACCAGATGGAGGTCAGAGCAAAGATCTTGAACAATTTGAATCTTGAAGGACAAATAGAAGTTATTTAGAAACAAATGAAGAGGAGGAGCATTCTATAACCATTCATCTTTACATGTAAAGGATCTTAGAGGTAAGAGAAAGTTGTCACACCAGTTTGTCTTCATCCCTGCTCATTGCACAGACAAGTTCTTTCAAACCTTCACAGAAAGGTAAGTCTCAATACTATTCAATTTATGTCAGAAAATTAAAAGGAAAAAAATTCTAATTCATTATTTAGAAGTTAGCATAACTGAATACCAAAACCTGATGAATGATAATTACTTTTTAGACACACTGTATACCACTATCACCTTTATTTAAGAATTACAAGTTTTTTAAGTTAAATGTATTGGGGTGATATTGGTTAATAACATTATACAGGTTTTAAGTGTACAATTCTATGATACACCGTTGCCTTGCATGCTCGCCACCCGAAGTCTAGTGTCCTTCTGCCACCATATATTTGACCCCTTTAGGCTCTTCACCCTCCCCCAATTCCTCTTCCCCTCTGGTAAGAATTACAAGTATTTTAAAGGCCGAAGTGAGTTTTAAGAAACCAGATGATCTTACCCTGCCAAGCACACATGCTACTGCATTTCCTTCACAACAAGTCTGATGCAGATTTTTAACATCAGCAGCCAGTTTGGCAATTTCAGAAAAGCTGGCTTTAGGTTGTTTTTTAGTCAACAGAACCAGTTCCCTGAAAAAAGAAAATATTTTAAACAATATTGTGAATTAGATAATTTCTAAAATTAGTTCTAGTTCATTGAGTAACCAAAAGGATAGAAACACATTTGCAAATGTAGGGTGAAGGGAGTGTATTCTAAATTATTTCTATTTCTTCTATGATGGCACCCAGAGCCATATAAGATCTAAGTCACAAAATAAACTTGATACAACATTCCAAAGAATCCATGATTCAACTCATAATCATGGATAATATAGTCATTTTAATCATTTAAATTGTTGTTAAGGAGTTGAGTTGCTTAGAAAGGTAATTGGATATTTATCTGATCTGACTTTCCAAATAAAATTCTTCCTCATCAAGACAATAAGGCATCAAGACAGGAGGCCTTGGTCTCCCTTGCCCCTCTCTGTTGACAACTGAGCAACATCCCTGAAATTTCTTGGGAAATAGGGAAAGCAGCCTGCCTTATAAGGAGAACTGAGCTTCCAGGCTGCCCAATGTTATCTTCAGTTGGGAAAGGAGGTGATATAAGGTAGATGCATATCTTCAGGGGTCAACTTGGACAGAAACACAATCTGAGCCAGGAAAGAGACATAGTGAAGAACATCAAATTCTTCTCCCGCCTCATTCCCCTCCATCCCCACCCCCCAAAACGCCTCTGGCTTTCTGTTCTATGTAACACTGGAGCCAGAATTTTTCCTATCTTCCCCAAGAGCAGAATAGCTCTTGTCTTCCAGGCTTTCCCATGCAGAACAATTGCATGCCTGCTTCGGAGCACATGGAATCGTTTGTGCCCTGAGGAAGAGACTGAGGGGTCTGAGCAGATGGAAGAAGCTGCGGGAGGAGATGAAGGGTGGGCTTGAGGACTGTGCGACTTCATGCACAGCCCTGTGTGTGGAGAAAGGAACCAGGTTTGTGCCGAGAGATATTATTAGATGATTTTTCTAATGAGTTTAATCAGCAGGGGTGATCCAGCAGCAACAAATCCACAAATCTAAATACGTAACTTACACTGCTTTTGCTACTTTGTGGTTGAATTGAATCCCAATTTCACATAAATGGTGATGCCTCAAAGATATTCCTCTAATGTATTTTCTGATGGGTTGTAGCTGTAATTAGAGAAACAACTCATCAAAGAAATATGGTAGTATGGAAAAAGTTAACTTCATCATTAGTAAAGAAGAAAGAAGAGTAAAAAATTATGTATCTCTCCAAAATCACAAAGTTTTTAGTGTCTTATTTAAAAGAGGCCAAATACAACAGCATACTTTGGGGGCTTTTTGTGTGTGTTTCATAAAATAGCATCTTTCTTCCCCAGACATCACTTGTTCCAGTGATCAAACATCTGGAAAATAAATGAGAGCAAGAAGCAGTGAAGGAAAGTCCAAAGAGGCCCCAGAATATATTCAATATGTCTTACATTGTACTTTGGTTTTATTCAAGTTACTACCACCTCAGACATGCCTCCTGGTATTACCTATAATAATAGATATGTCTATAATGCTTCAGTTTCACAACATATATTAATGAAGTTCCCCCAAAATATATTCATATTATTTAACTCAGGATTTTACTTTTGAAGCTACTGCAAATAAACTTTTCTAAATAAATAAAAACTTAATTACTCAAAAACTCATGTATGTTTTATGATAGCAAAAATACAGAGACAAATAAAATGTCTCAGCAGAGAGAGGGTTAACTAAGTCATAGCACAGTATTTTTGAAAAATGTATATTTCTAATAAAAAGTAAGATGTTTAAACCTCTCATCAAAACTCTATATTCAGTGTGACCACAACAACCTACAAAATAAAATCTGTAAATAAAAATAAATAAAAGGAAATATACCAACTTTGATAGCGCTGAGTGGTAGGAATATAAGTAATAGTTTAAAATTTCAGAAAAGCTCTATATTTTCACCGAAAACATTATACTGACCAAATAATATTTTTGCTTTGGCTAACTGCACCTTACAGAACTATTTTTTAATATGTTTTTATTGATGTCAGAGAGAGGAAGGGAGAGGGAGAGAGAGAGAGAAACATCAATGATGAGGGGGTCATTGATCGGCTGCAGCCCGCAACCCGGGCCTGTGCCCTGACCGGGAATCGAACCCCGACTGCCTGGATCCTAGGTCGATGCTCAACCGCTGAGCCACGCCCGGCCGGGCTATAGTATTATTTTTAAGAACAAGTTAGAAAATGTATACAAAGGGAATATTCAAACCACAAAATTGGCACAATAATCATAATAATATTTTTATAATTAATTATAATTATTTTTATCCTTATTTTGTTGTATTATACTCATTTGAAATTAAATACCAACAAGCTTCCTTATTTCTTCATAAGAGAGTTTTTGAGTACTTAGTTCATAAAGTTGTGTCTGATCATAGACACAATTTTTGCACAATTGGTTATGTAATTTTTTCTGTCAGGTAATGAGACGTAAGTCTGCATGATCATTCATGATCATTTCTTTTTAGCTTTTGATTAATATGAAACCAAAAGAAAAAAAAAAAAGAAAAGAAAAAGACTGTCCTGCCAGGAATTCAGAATTGGTTTCTGAAGGAATCGGAGTTCACCAAGAGAAAGAATGCAGAGGGAGGTAAAAATATAGATTTAAATAGCTTTAACGATAATAACTACAATTATTGCATATTTAGCGTATGCCAGAAACTCTTTAGAAACATTAATATCTTATGCAAGGTAGATAATGAGGAACTCGATAGGAGAAATAGATGCCAACAAACAGAGAAATAGCAGTTTAGAGGAATAAGAGATAAAATCTCTCTGAAGAGATAGAAGCAGACAGCGAGGAAGAAGGGGCTGCACTTAGCCTGAGGAATTCATCCACCCGCTTATCAAACGACTACTCATTTCAGCACAACCTTTCGAAAATCCATCTGGTGCCCCCTCTAGTAAAAATGGTTATTTTATTTGATATTTAGACCCTTTAATGAGCACAGATAAAATGTACTTTACTCATGAAACTAATCACTTTTACAGCTATTTACATCTATTTAATGACAGAGAAAAGGCCACATGGTTAAAATTTAGTGTGGCAGGCTGTATATTCCAAAGATGGCTACAACAATATCTTCTATCCCATGCTCTTCTTACAATGAGATGTTAACAGTTCTCCTATCAAGAGGTATAATGTACTGTCCACTTCAAACAGGTGAGGTTTCGCGGTGTTTCCACCATAGAATATGGCAGAAGTAACTTCTGCGTCTGGGTCACGAAAGGCCATGCAGTTTCTGCTTTATCCACTAGAATATTCATTCTTGAAGACTTTGGCCACAGGTAAGCAATCCAACTGCCCGAGGCTGCCATGCTGTAAGGAAGCCCAAACTAGTCAGGGCAGTGTGGACAAAGAAGGGGCGCTGTAATAAATCTCACCAAGGGTAACCTCACAGAGTGATCTGATCATAAATTCTTAACTGGGCATGATATGGTGAGCAGCTTTTTGCTAAAAGGCATATAACTTTTTTAGCAAACTGTTTATTTTTTCCTTAAGCAAGCCCTGCCCATGGTTTCTGGGCATCTCTGTTAACACCTTTGAAATGCTTCTTTTTCAGAGCCCTTGGAAGCGCTCAAGAATCTAGTCACAGAACCTTGTCGACTATCTTGTAATCCCATCCTGCCTTGCTTTCTCCCACTTTCATGTAATCTTTACATTCCCTCCTTAATTTCAAATGTATTAAAGAAACTGCAAAACTGCCATTCTCCTGAGCATTTGAGATTTTGTTTCCTAGCATTGTCATCAGGTTGGCTCAAATAAATTATTTTAAAAATTCTCTACAGGTTTTTACATTCTTAAGTCAACAGCAGACGGACTGCTTGGAGAGGCCCTGAGATTTTATGAGAAGAAAGAGATGTTGAATCAGTCCCCTGGTGCTTCAGTGTTGAGAATTCCAGATCCAACCATTGTCTGACTATAACTGCATGAAAGACCCTGAGGTAGAACCACCCACGAGTCCTTCCTGAATTCCTGACCCACAGAAATCATGAGAGATAATAAANCAGTGTTGAGAATTCCAGATCCAACCATTGTCTGACTATAACTGCATGAAAGACCCTGAGGTAGAACCACCCACGAGTCCTTCCTGAATTCCTGACCCACAGAAATCATGATTGCTGTTTTGAGTCACTCAATTTTGGGGTGTTCTGTTATATAGCTACGGTAACTGAAATATTAAATATTTATTATAAAGTAATATGTATGCTCGATTGTGCTCTTCAAATATAAGTGACTGTACAAATTGCCTTGGTAGCTTGTTAAAATAAAGTCTTGTCTAGTAGGTCTAAAGGAGAGCTTCAGATTCTGCTTTTCTAACAAGCTCCCAGGTGATGGTTACGCTGCTGGTCCACAGTCCACACTTTGCATAGCAAGACTCGAAATGACAGTTGACATAAGAGTATCTTACCTTTATCTGGAAGCATTCAGTCCTATTTTCTTCTTGGCAACATGACTGAACAGCTGTTTCATAGCAAGTAGACATGGTCAGAATAGTGGGTCCATATAAGAATGGATGCTTTCTTGAAGTTTCATAAATGTACCTATAATTTGACAAACCCAAAGTTGTGTAATTTGGAGTTCAAGAAAATGTGTTGATGCTGTTTCTTAAAAACTTAAGGCTCATTTAGTTTTGTTGACCTGTAACATTTAGAATATCATGGTGAAAGAGATGAGATAGCACTATACTTAAATGAATCAAATGTTCACAATAGATAGATCACTGTGAGGTTAGTCAGACATTCCAAGTGCCCATGAGGTAACCAAAGGTACCTCCGGGTCTGTGGGGAAGAAAATCAGTAATCAAAACTTTTCATTCTTGTATAAGTAGTAGACAGCAGAAAGTTCAATCATCTAAAGTGAGTTATAAATGCAGGATTGTACACAAGTGCAGAGGAATTGAATTTAGAAGCTATTCATGGATGAAGAAGAGTCTCTCAAGATCATCCGAAAGTTCTTTCTAGACTAAGAAAGTTGCTATGCTATCTTTTTAGTCCGAAATAGCTGACTTTTTATCCAGATTTGATATAAATTACTGTTTCCTTCATTGAGAATTAAATAAAGTTCTTGGCTTATAATTATGAGGCAAGCAGTTAGAAAGTTGTTTGTCCCTTGAAGATTTATAGTTGTATGCACTTAAGTTAAAACTAGCATATAAAATAACTCCTTAATTACTGACTTTTTTGTAAATATTCAAAAAGAGGTTAAATGCACTGCCTGAGTATTGGTTAGATTTTTTAATCTCTGAATATTCAGTCCAAATCTGATTCTACAGTTCTCACCTATGGTGGATGGCACTACAGCTAGGTAGCCAAGCTCATATTTCGGTTCCCATTTGGTTGCTCCTAATGTCAGACAAGTTGGGAACCTGCTCAATCCCTGTCCCTTAGTCCTTCCTCCTTAAGTGGCTGAGGCCATTTAATTTTTTCTTGAAGGCTCGGTAATTGCTGGGGCAATTCTTCCCTTTTATGGCTGAATTGAAAGAATTCCGTTATTCAGCACTGTCATCCTGTCCACCCGTCATCTGGTGCAGAGTTGAATCAGAGTTCTTGAGTACAAAACTTGTCTCTGACATCTACACTTGTTACTTATTCTTAGGGTCCCAGTGACAGACTCTGTCCATGCCTTTCAGATACACGTCCCAAATGCCAGCCCTGTGCCTGAGCTGCTATGTGCTCTCTGTCTCCAGTACTCTGCTTTACCTACTTGACTGAACATTTCAACATCATTTGCTCCTGGTCTGACTGATCTAACCCTTAAGGAGATGGGCCCATTACAGGCCCTGATCACTTTTAATGTTTCATGGCATAGACATTTTCATACCCTGTTGAGTTCACTGAGACGATAATTATCATTCAGAGGAAGAAAAAAGATATTGTAGCTCAAATTTTCCCTTTAATTCCATGTAATAAAGCATTGTGTTCTCAGAGGCTGTTATGTAAAAAAAGACCTGATTTCAAAATTTGAAAATACCTTTCTTCAAAGACAAAGGCAAGGGGAAATGACATACCTCTTCTTCACTGACACTTGATGGTCTTTGTTCATGTCACAGATCTGCTCAGGATTTGGAATTTGCTCTATTTCCCAAAAATCTGCATCATCTTTTTTGTTTAACAGGAAGCACTTGTGTCTTGCTGTGTTATTTATGTTGCAACAGTCAGAAAACACATGTTTGTCAGCCATTCCTTGGTTATTACAAATATGTTCTAAGAAGGTGGCCATCTGTAGGAGGAAATAATAACTTAAAGGGGAAGCATGTGTGCTCTACATTCTTAACCACAGGAAGGGTAAGGAATTATTTTTTTTTTTAAAGGCAATTGAGTGCAGAATGTTACACTTTGTATCTAATAGTCCCTGGACATAGTTCTTTTGAGCAAAAGCCTTTTAGGTTTTTAAGTCTAAATTCCCACATATGGGACATTGACCAAATAGAATTTATTATTTCCTCCTTTCCTATGTAATTGCTTCATCCTCCTACAGCTCACAGGTATTAAAATAAACATAAACCAGAATGTCTAGGGCCTAAAGAAATCAAGGTATTTTTAATGAGAATTATCTACCAATAAATATATAGTAGCTTGCTTTCCTTGCTTCCTAGTTTTGTTTCCACGGCAACTTATTTTAAAAATTGAACTCTAAAGAAATGTGTAATCAGTGTCAAATATTCTAATGAAAATGTAATAATTCAATTAGTTTTAAGTATCTTTCAATGGCAGTAAATAGGTGGAATGCTGTAAGCCTCAAATGACATGTTTTATATTTGGGGGATAGGGGCATAAAATTTCCATCTTTTGAAATGGAAATAGGAAAAAAATCACTACAAAACATGTAAGACTAGCCACTGATAGAAGTACTTCATTTAAAATCTGTTTCTCATAAGACCATATTAGACTATATTTACATAGTCTAATAAAATGTAGGTTTTAGCCCCAAGAAGATGGAGTAAAACTATTACAAATAAAGAAGAAAATTACTCATTTGTATTTTAAATTATTTGTCAAGAGAATAATTGACCAAATAGATAGATACATACATAGATAGATACATGATAGATGATAGACAGATAGATAGATAGATAGATAGATAGATAGATAGATAGATAGATAGATGATAGATAGATGATAGATAGATAGATAGATAGATAGATAGATAGATAGATAGATAGATAGATATAGATAGATGATAGAATGTTAGTGTTTATCAAGAATTTGTTAACCACAAGGTAGACATACTTTAAAGATACTATAGTAATTCCCAAGATTATCTACTAAGTGGGAAAAGAACCCATAATGCTATTCACTTCTTTCTTCTTTTACTTACACTCTAACAAAAATTTTAAAATTAGTACTTCAATTTCCCAGGAACCTTTATACAAGGATTTCAGACAATAGTATTTTAGTGACAGAGGCAGAGCAACCAACTTAAGTTAACAAATTGACATTCTAGGCTATAATTCATTCTCTTGAATGTTTGGTTCAAAGAGTCCCAGAGATGAACTGATAAACTGTAAGTTTATAAGCCTACAAAGATTATATCTTGAGTATGAACCATGTGCCTATTGCTCCCTTACAATCCCCAACCAATTTATTCAATGAGCCCTCCTTATAATGACATTTTTTGGTTGCAATTTAGTTTTAAGAGAGAGAGAGAGGGAGAAAGAGAGGCAGAAGATGACTCACATACCAGCTGATAAGAGCATTCTGAAGGTGACTGGTGTAGCTTGAAGCTCTTGCATTTCTCTGCAAAATCTAGTAGCTCTTTAACTATGGTTTGTACTTCTTCATAAGTGGATTTCTGAAGAAACTGAGCAACCATAATGCTAATGCTGAAACATGACACTCAGTGTTAAAGATAGAACTGAACCCATTTCCTCCATCATTCTTGTTACCTCATTGTCTCACTCCCCTCCCCCCAAATAATTAATGTGATTTAAGTTTCAGACAAAATAATTTTGATAATAAAACTCACATGTCTCTCAAGTTCTCCTTCAGATAATTCTGGCTATTAGTGTGCTGCATGGCTAGAAAGAAAAAGAAGAGAGAGACTTTATATGCATAAGAGGAAATTTTCCAAATTGAAATCCCCCTTTATAATTCTGAAATCTTTATTTATTCACTCATAAATTTCCAGATATATTTTTTATCATAATAAATTAGAAAAATTACCAGAATATATCTCCATTTGTATTTAAACTATATTCTGTGAATGACTTATTTCTGTTCAAATATATTCTGCAGTTGAAATCTATAATTGGCCTCAAGTAAGTTACGTATACTTATGTTGCAATCGCTGAATTAATTAAACTTGACAATTTGGTTATTTAATTCTTTATATTACAAGAGTTAAATACCACACCAAAAAATGTTAAGAAAATTAGAGTTTGCTTAATTTGGCAGAAGCAGTATCTCACACATCTTGGATTTTCTCTTCATCTTCATCTCCCCGCTCACTACATACACATACACGTTTTCTATTGAAAGCAATGGCTTCCTTCTTATACTAATTGCTTCTAGAATGCTTAGCAGCTATCAATTAAAGAAACCATTATTATTTGCTATATTAACATAGGGAAAGGCTTTAGAGACAGCTATTCTGAGTTCAACTTTGAGCTCTGGTGCTTAATGTGGCCTTGGGAAAATAAGATCTCAAAATTTGTGTTTCTCTATCTTTAAAATGTAAATAAGTTCTATTACACTGGATGGTTGTTCAGATTAAATGAAAACATATGTGTGAAGCACTGAGCACAGTGCCTGGTTCTTAATAGCTACTAAATAATGTAGCTCTAATATTATTCTTGCTACTATGAACACTTTTGCTTTATCTAAAACCATTTATCGAATTTTAAATACAAGTTTAAATGCATCACTCTCTCGAGTGAAAGTAAGGCTAAAATGAGGTCTTCCTGTGGGTTGCTTCAATATATTAGCTCTCTTTCTTTATTCACTCCGTAAGTTAATTTCCAGCAGTTTTCAATAACCCTATTGACAGTGATAAGCACTGAGAAAGAAAAGTCTCTCCATAGCATTTCAGTAGCCATTACATCTTACTCCTGGCACAAGGAATGTATAGATTGTAAATAGGATTCCCTACCTGCATCTAGTAAACTTCTCTGAAGAGTTTGACATTTAACGTAGCTGAAGAAAACAAGAAAAGATATGAGTCTAACAGTCTTCATTATTTCAGATGAACTTTTATAGAAGGTGTTCTATCATTTGAGAGAACTGAAGAATCCTTTTTTCGCCTTTTCAAGTAATTAATATTAATAATTAAACTTTCTCTGGTGAATATTTTTTCCAGGCCACTATGACCCTGATCAAATCGAAGAATTCAGGCAATGAAGAAATGCTGTTGATGGATAGTCATTCGTTAATGAATATTGGATTTTAAAATGAGTCATGTCAATGTACTTTGTTTTTTCAAGATTAAGCCATGTAGGCCTTGTAATGAAGTAATCAATAACACTCTGGGTAAATATCTCATTTTCTGGAAGTGTCTGTTGACAAGTTCAAAGTTCTAAAGTGGCAGGCGAGAAGACAAACATGTACTACCCCAGGTTCAAATAAATGGTTAAGCCCCCAGTTCCGGTGCTAGGTGCATTTTCAAGCCCTGTGAAAGGGTAGAGAGCACAGGCCTTTGGAGGAAACCCAAGGGATTGGGATCGAATTTACTGAGTGGTTACTGTGAGTCTCGCACTTTGTATGCCTGTATAACAGCTATACTCTTTTTCTTTAATAAGGAATTAATACTTGGGGTCATATTATTTGCTCATGGACTCACAGATAGAAATTTTGGTTTGTCTGATTTTAGAGCCCATACCAGCCAAGAGTTAGTATCGAAAGCTGAGGTTCCAACACTCCTCAGCTACTGTCTGCTTCCCTGTCATTTAGTTCTTGGATCTAAGGCAGGAAACAGATATTGACTGATTACATTAAAAAGTCGAAAATAAATGTCAAGTTTAAAATGTTAGGAAATGGGAGATCACAGCTTACTACTTTAACCATTCCCATTCTCAGTCTCCTCATTTACAGCAGGGGGGTTTGCACCAGGTCATCTCCGAGGCTAGCAGTCCATTGCTTGATTTCTGCTACCCACATATTCTCCTTTCTGGTCTTGGCAAAGAACTATCACAACTAAGAGAGTTATATTTGCCTGAAAAACAACAACAGCGCTGTCATTATTTAAATTTGGGACTCATTGGTTAATGTAAAGAATACCGATGGCCACGTGTGATAGAAAGCCGGGGTCAGCAAATGGAAGAGTATCTTCAGCAGGTTTTCTTCATCCTTTGCATGGTCCTCTAAACAGTCCTGGTGCTCAGAATTTCTTCTGCTGTGCATCCTCAGAGCTGCTCCCTTGAGATCCTACTCAAAGCCTCTGGGAACTGTCAGAAATGGACCTATTACTCAGTGAGCGCCGTCACTGTCACCCCTTGCAGACATTAGTAATTGGCGACTGCACTCTTTCTCTCTGAACCAAGACTCAGCCTTAACACCACTCACAGCACAATGCCATAGGACAGCCACTATTAACAGACTGGAGTTGGCACTTAAGGAAAGAAAACTGTTGTATGTCCTCTCAGAGTAAGGCTCTTGAAAACACAAAAAGAGATTAAGCCCTCTATGGGCGCCTAATGGTGGAATTTCAGACCAGAGGGAAGACGAGTAGTGGGGAACAGCAAAGGCAGGGCATGGGTTTGGGGATAGGACTCAAAAGACAGCAAAGAATATTTTCTCTCCGAGAAGAAGGTCTCTGTGCTCACTTTCAATATGAACAATGGGAGGTATGTAAGTACAAGGCACACTGATAATTTTTAACAAATACTATTTGCAAAGCAAACGTAATTCTGTTATGTCCAAGAATCAGATCCCCTATGCGGCGGAAAGACAACAGCAAAAGGGACTTTTAGTCCAGCTAGCTGGTGTTTGGTCGTATCCAACGCAGTGGAATTCTGACTCGAACCCCGATCTAACTTTCCCACAAGCTTATATAGGGCTACAGTGAGCAAGCAATCATTGTCAGTTACAAAGTTACATGGGTTATAAATTCTTTAGGAAGGGTGGGCTCAGGATGTTTCTCAACCACAGGCGCCTGAAGCTTGAGTGCACCTGGTATTTGTCAAACCCACCAATTTAAGTTCATTCCTGGAACTGCCTCCACCCTCTGCAGTTTACTGAGTCACTCATGTATGCCTTTTGTCCTGCCCCGGGGCCTAGGGGCCTGCCTCTGTCTTGGTGGGTCCTCACAATTCTTGTCCAATTCACAGAAGCAGAGTTAAAAGGAACTTCAGGAAAACCACGACTGGATGCCTAGATCCACCAGGAACCTGGGTGGTGACTGCTCATGGACTCATGAGTGCACCGTGAGGCTTATCACAGCCACAAGCATCTCTAGAACTAGAAAGTTCTTCCTGCATCAAGTCTACATATGTTTCATTCACTGGTATGAGTTTTGTCTGAGCAATACAGAGCAAGTTCTTCTGAATCCTCTCTTCTCCATGCAAAATATGTGTTTTGAATAAACCATTCTTCTTCCCTCTCACACCACAACGGTTAATGTTAGTTTGTTCTCTGGCACATCAATAGAGAGTTGTATGGCAGTTTCCTCTGTGATAGAAAGTCTTGTGAGGACAGCAGGCTCCTGGGGCTCAGGTTTTATATCTGCTGCTCTTAGCAAGGTATTGCACACACAATAGGATCCACTGTTCGATACAAAATGGAATCAGCTAATTGTGCTCTGCTTCACTTCTGTGCGCTGAATTTACAAGCTATTATTTAAGTAAAACTTTCTTGTTATCCTCACTAGTAGATGATAGTATTTAGAAAAATGGCAAAAGGACGAAATAGCTTCATGAATGAATTACCTGTAATTTGCTGCCCATTGTATTGGGTACTTTACAGGATAGTAACCTGTTACTCTGAAACCTTTGAGATGTGGAGGTCACTCTCCCATCCTACACAAAGAAATGAAGGCCTTAGGTTGTAGGCAGCTTGTCTGAAGCCACACAGCAGGTCAATGGCAGTAGGAATTTGAAACTCCCCACCCTTTCTCACCCTGCATCTTCAGCTTAGACCATGTGCCTGTGCTGTGTGCACCCATAGGTCCATCCGTGCACCTAAGGCATCATGTGTGATTGCTTGCTTATGGTCCATCTCCCCTTCCCAACAACACACAAGAACCATGTCTAATTGGCTCACATTTGTATCCACAATATCTGACACACAGTAAGAGCCTAATAAATATTTGTTGAATAAATGAGTTAGAATCCCAAACGATATGCCCTAAATGCTATACCAAAAGAACTCTGTGAATATTCTCAAGTTTTATTCATTAAGCGATCATCATCTTCAATTTCAGACACTGAAACACTAAACGCCTTAAAAGTTTAGAGATTGGTAAGGATGGTCAGTCCCTGAGCCCACGACTAACCTTCATTTCCTGGCTTCCCAGTTCCTACCCCTCCCTCTCCTTAGACATCACTGCAAAGCACTTACAGCTCCAACATCACAGCAATTTTGGCTTGGAATGGAGGGAGAGATGAGTCACTGTCACTCTTCTTTCTCTCTAAATAACACATTTTATAAGGCCTACAACATGGCCATACCTGAGAGGTAGTGTGTACAGGGGCTAAGAATATTCTTCTGGAATTAGAAGATCAAACCTTGGTTCTGCCAACTACTACTCATATGACACTGAACAAATCAGTTTATCTCCCCAAGCCTCAGATTCCCTGTTTGTAAAATGGGAATAGAAATGATGTCTACTTTATAGAGTTATTAGGATTAAACGAGAGTGTTTGGTACATGGAAAACATTCACTGCCAGCTGGTGATCGTAGTAGTAACAGTGGCAGCAGTGCTGGATGCCCTCAACTCCCCTTTTCCTTCCCAGCAGCAGCATTACAGGATCTGTGAGGATCCTGTCCACACAACTGTTATTTCAAGTCCTGCCTGCCATGCAGTAGATTTAGCCAGTGAGCCAAAGATACTGATGGAATAAACGAATCTTGAGTGTTTAATTTTGTTATTAGTTTGACACAACATCAGTTTTTGAGAAGCAACTTTATATTTTGTTGTTTATTGCTTGAGGCAATAACATGATTTCAGGAGAGGGTCTTTTTACTGTGTTCTTCTCAGAAAATGAAATTCACCACAGGACAGCTGGGAGTAGGTAATTTGGTCTTCCTTTCTTTCCTCTACAACCTGGGAAGAAAAAAAATCTTATGCAGCAAAAGAATATGAAACATTATAACTTGGGTGATGGAAACTCATGTATAAAAAAGAGCTAATGGTAACTGTTTTGCCTCTTCTAGACACAAGCCTACTCTCTGTGGTGGTCCAGGTCTCTCTTCCCAGGCACTGAACAACTTTGTTCTATCTGCACATTTTGTTCCTAAAGTTTGTGTATGAGTCTTACCTAAACTGCAGAAGAAAGGGCATCCTTTATATATCTTTTTAAAATAGCAGACATTGCTTTTTGTTTCTGTAAATGCTGCCGCAAGACTCTTGGAACCAGTTGACTGAGGCCCGTGTGCCATCCCAACCCCTCCTCACTCTGTCTACATTCTGATATCCGATTGCCTCCCCTTTCTGGTCCAGAGAGCTGAGTGCAACAGCCGAGAGGCTCTTTAGGAAACTGCTTGAACAGTAAGAAGAAGTGCTGGCTGAAACGCAACAGCACTAGCCTACAAGGAGTGGTAGATGCCCAGAGAAACATCACAGACCAATACTGAGGTCTGTTAGGAACAAGACATGTGGGATGCACCAGAAATCAAAAGTGAAGCATGAGAGGGGAAGAGCCAGGGTGACCAGAGAAGCTACAGATGCAACTGGATTTAATTGAGATACAAAGTATTACCTTTGATGGTTTTTTATGTTTCTCAAGAAGCCTGGCTTTTGGCTGCCAATTTTGGACCCTAAGAGGGGGAAATTAAATAATAAATAAATAAATAAATAAATAAATAAATAAATAAATAAAATATAGGAATTAAAATTAAGACATTATTTAAATTTAGAAAAGCATGTTGCCTCAAATTTTGGAAAGAAAAATTAAATTACTCCTATATTGTACAGGGAGACAGTGAACACTCTTTCTTCAAGTGAACTTGAGTTCAGACATGCCAAGCCTTTTATGAACTGCCAGTGGATCTATCCCTCCCTTTACATGGCCTCAGATATACAGTCGGGTAGATGCTAGATATTGATTCATGCCTCTAATTATGTTAAGCATTTTTTTTTTTTAAACTAATG